ATTTTATATAAACGCATAAATTGATGCCATTTCATTTTTACTATCAGTGAAACTAATAGAAGCCATTCAATACAGAAAAAATGAACATACCTGATCAAAAGACCCATTAGAAATATTTTAATGTTTCTGTAGCCTCATTCAATTATCTTTGGTTGTATTCTTTGTGTTATACTCAAGTTAGCCGTGACATGATGAAGTAAATAGTGATTGTACTGTAGTTATATTCTGCGATTATCTTCCTGACACTGAGACCAATATCCTCTTCGTACAATAGGAATTTGCATTTAACACTACCAAACATGCTAACATAGCACAAGAGGGGTAAGGAAACCAAAATAATCCCATATGGAACTCTACATGTTATCGGCAGGTCTGATTCGATAGTTTTGTATCACCTGAGCAGGCAGTTTATTGTGCATGCAGTGTTTATCGAATAAATGTACTGTAATGCAAAGGGCCAAAATAACAGAGGTTATTGGTCAATGTAACTAACCCCATTTCACATATTACAATTTCTTCACCTAGCTAATATGCACAATATAGAGATACAATCTCAAGAAATTTAAAGTATTTTCTTACCACCAGAAACATTGACCATGATGCTAAAATCTCATCAAATAACAGTTCTTTCATTTAACTGGTGCAAACTGTGGGAACAATCTCAAGACTTCAGATAGGATTTGCCATTTTGTGAAAAAAAAAAATGCACAAATTTATTTAACTGCTTTTCTTGGAAGGTGGATGTTATCTTCAGATGATCCTGTAATAATAAATTAAACTGGGAATTAAATGTATACATTGAGCTCAATAATGTGCTGGGAAAGTCACTGCACTCTTGTAGAGATTTTATGAAGTCCCCCATATTATATTGTGATGATTTCCCCCAGTAATGAGTTGTATTTACTCAGGTGTTGATGGTGTGTGTGGGAGTGACCTGGGCAATGAGGCTGGATTCTCCAGACTACCTGGATCCAAACCCATCATATGCAGTTGCCTGGGAGGTAAAGAACGAACCCACCTATGATGAAAAATCACAACAGGAGGTATTGCAGGAAGGCACAGTGGAGGGCCGCTACACTTACCTGAGGCCCGACGGTAAAAGGCAGGTCGTCACCTACCGTGCCAACGATCGAAATTGGCTTTGTCGTCAACATTGAAGTCCACGATGTGATGACAGCCTTTGGAGACGGTGGCCGACCTCCCTTAGCCAGTAATGTTGGTTCAGGCAGGTCTCTGGATTCTGTATCTTATTCTGGAAGCTTTACTTTAGGAAGAAAATCATTGAATTCATTCCCATCTTCAAGAGATATTGTCACCAGTAGTTTCTCATCATCCTCGTTTTCACCCAGCAGCAGCTCTGGCAGGAAAGAGGCTTTTATGCCTGCTTCCTCACCAAATGTCAACCATATCACACCATCTGAGAAAGATGGGTCACCTTTGCTTCAGATCCCTACCTTGCAGGTCCCTGCAGTAATGTCTCAAGTTAAGAATCCAAACATACAACCTACTCAACATCCTTTATCCTTCACATCAAAGCAATCATCACCTACAACAATTCCTAGTTTTGTCAGATCAAGTTCAGTCATTCCTGAGTCTTTCCATTCTTTGCCTGCTTTTCAAAAATGCATTTGTCGAACAGCTCCCCTTTGTTATCATCTACAGCCAGGCTAGATGAAACACGGCCTGCATTAACAAAGGGTGATGGTGGCATTGTGACAAAAAGGCTTAAACTGCAGCAACCAGTCATTAGACCAAGCACGGCTCGTCTCACACCACCTCCACCCACATCCCCTACACCTACATCCACAGTTTATCCACATACTACAACAAGCCGTCAACAACTTCCACCTACATCCATTGCTCCTCATCGGCAGCCTGCAGCATTTGAAAACACTGGGCATAGCATTACAGGAGCAGAGAAAGGCTCATTAGGGCATGGAGAAACAACAGGGGTAGCACATGTGTCCTTTAGCTCTCCAACTCACCAGTATTCCTACCCACTCATTGTCAACTGAATGTTCACGCCATATGTGACCTTAATCGTACCATTCACAAATTGTGAGAGGAGACTAGAACAGAATTTGGGTCCATAATGGACCATAAGGTACATATAATGTATTCTCATATTTATTAATACTTATAGTAACATGTGTGTGTTTATTCTTATGCATATAGTGTATAAGTTCTTTCTGAAGCACTGATGCACCATATGCAACGTTTATGAAAAGGGAGTAAAGATGCCAAGTATTTTCAAGTGACATTATGATACCTGTATTTAAAATATTCAAATTGTCATACTTAAGAATTATCGTTATTCTTACATAATATGTACACATTCTATTCATATAACTTATATGCACATTAACACACAAAGGGAAACCAAATGCTGCACAATTAAGAAAAACCATTAACATTAGAAGATAAGCTAATATATTTTTTGTAGTGTACGTATTTATATAATTTTATAATATGTAGTGAAATATATTATTATCCTTACATAGAGAGTTCAGAAATGTAACACTCTGTTATGATAATTTATAAACTCTTCATTAAATTTTAAGCATCATTCCAGCCCATGCAAACAATTTCACCAAAAAATGTGCAATAAATAGTTAAGTAAGATACAATGTTATGATACTGCTACAGATTATCAAATGTTCTAGAATCATGGTTACCAGGTGTGTCAAGACCCCTACACCCACACCTCTCCAACTACATCTATATCTCCTCCACCTACCTCGATATACCCTCCACCTACATCAATACCCCATCCACCTACAGCTACACCCCTTCCACCTTCACCCACATACCCTCAACCTGCACCCCTTCTCCTTCACCCATTCCCTCTATATCCACACTCCCCCCATACAACAGGGCTTACCAATATTCAGTCAAATGAATTTATCATTTTTAATTCACCCTATCTCTGGGACATTTTATAATAAAGAAGAATGATACTTTAAAGTGTTAGCTTCACTGGTCTGTGATTATTTAATAAGTTACAATATTGTGCAGATTCATGAAAGAAAAAAAAGATAGCACAGATTCATGAAAGAAAAAAAAGATAGCTCAATGGTCTTCAACAGCTGTTCTTTCAAGCTTGGAAAGAATAGTTGTAGAAGCAGATGATTATACCTGATTCCCTTAATATAGTTTAGATTGAACTAACATTGTATGTAGACAAAGAACAACTCAACTATCAGACCCCAGGTAAAATGCCACACAGTATTAAGTAAATTCACTCTGCTAAGGCATGGAGCTTTCAGGCTTAACATGACCTTTCATGACCTACAATGAGAGTGGAGCTCAAGAAACTTAGCCATTTTTGATGAGAGAACTATACAGGGAGAGAACAAAATAGGAAATGACAGAAAATCAAGTAATTATGATTGAGAATTTAAAGCTGTGTGATGTAGACCAGATGAACTACATCACATCATTAACAGGCACTACAAGAGCCCTGTCATGATCACTTGGCTGACTTTTAGGTAACACAGCACTTCCTTACCTTGTCTGGGCTGAAGCATGAAAATCTTTCCCAAGCTTGTGGGTAATACACCTCATGTCCCATAGCTCGATTGCTAGAGCATTCAGCTCACACACTGAGGTTCATCATTTGATCCTTAGTTCAGGTGAAAACATTATGCTGTATTTCCTTAAGACACCTGCTGTCCCTGTTCAACTATCAGTAAAATAGGTACCTTGGTGTTAGTCGACTGGTTTGCGTCACATTATGGGACAAAATTGACTCAATTTGCCTGAAATGTTCTGCATAACAAGGTGCTTTCTACATAATAGCACGTCATTGACGTCAGCTAGGCTTGTATACATCATACATGTGCAGTGGTACCTTGAGTTTCGAACAGCTCCCAACTCGAACAATTATGTAAGTGTATTTTTGTAAGTGCTTCTGTAAGCGTATTTTTGTAGGTCTGAAACGGACTAATCTAATTCCCATTATTCCTTATGAGAACAAATTCATTTGGTATTGACACTCGAACAGCCTTCTGGAACGAATTAAGTTAGTAACTCGAGGTACCACTGTACTTGTAGAAACAAATAATAGTAGTAGTAGTAGTAGTAGTAATGAAAGCCAATCTGGTGACCTATTATGTCTTGATTCAAGACAGGGAATGCTATCAGGTATTTCAAGGACAACGTGCAAATGGCCTTTGTAAGTTAGAAGCAAGAGTCATAGTCAGGATGCTGCAGAGGAATTGTTGCCAATACACATTCAACAATAATAATTAACCCGTAAATGGTCCAAACGTATATATACGTTCACTACCGTACTGCCCCAACTTTTTTGAGAAAAAAAATATTGTTGTTTTTCAATAGGAAAAAAGAGCATATGGTACCCAGGCATCCCCAATTATTTTAATATGGTGCACAGTGAGTGCTCACACCCATTCTCACATGTCTAGGCGACTCAGGCTTATCGTGACAATGTTAAATGTAGGACACATAAAACGTATATATACGTTTGGGGCACTAGCGGTAAAAACGTGTATATATGTTTGGACCGTTTACAGGTTAAACTTCTCCTCTCCATTTCCCCCACTAACCACTTAGTTCAAAAAGGGAAGACTTACACATTTACTAAAATAATCCTAGGTCTAGTGGAGGGGTATGCTTGAGTGACCAACGAAGAACCAGGTAGCAGCCACTCCGATATTCGCTTGGCCCTGGCCAAGTGAATATCAGAGTGGGAGAAGAGCCATGCAAGACCAGCTATCTGATTCAGTAGGACCAGCACTGAATTTCCTGTTTAGCCTCTATCCACCAAAGAAGCATACTGCCCATGCAAGGACTGCAGCTCCACAGGCAGGCTCAACTTTCAAGCAAGAGGAAACAAGGAGTATACAAGTCACCATCCACAGAAAATGCACAGGGTAGTGCTAGTGGCAACCCAAAGGAAGTTGAAACCTTCCCAGAATGACCACAACAATGAAGACTGTAATCCCCTACCATGTATGTAAAGGAACTGCCAACAGAGGGGATGTATTTACATAAATTATTTATTTAAAAAAAGTCTTGAACATTCTGAACAAACATTCATTTTAATTTACTAGATTATATTTGCAGTATTTCATAAATATTTTAATTACTCTAAAGATTGCAATTGTTTCTCTCTGGTATGACTTTTTATATGCTCTAAGAAATAAATCTCCTGACAAAAGTCTTTAAAACACTCTGGGCATTGATAAGATTTTTCTCCACTATGAACTCTCATATGCTTTTGTAGATTGACTTTTTGTGTGAAGTCTTTTAAACACACTGGACACTGATAGGGTTTCCATCCTGTATGAATTCTCATATGTATATTTATGTAATACTTATTCACAAAGTTTTTTAAACAGACTGAACACTGATATGGTTTCTCTCCTGCATGACCTTTAATGTGTCTTACCAAAATAGACTTTTGAGAAAAATGTTTTAGACACTCTGAACATTGATATGGCTTCTCCCGAGTATGAATTGTCATGTGTCTTGCTAAATTAGATTTGTGTGTAAAATCTTTTAGACACTCAGAACACTGATATGGTTTTTTTCCTGTGTGAACACTCATGTGCACTTCCAGATAAGATTTATTTGAAAAGTTCTTAAAACATTCTGAACAGTGATATGGTTTCTCACCTGAATGAATTTTCAAGTGCTTTATAAGCACAGATTTTTGTGAAAAGTCTTTAAGACACTCCGAACATCGATAAGGTTTCTCTCGTGTATGAGCTTTCATATGAATATCTAAATAAGATTTGTCCTTGAAGTATTTTAGACATTCTGAACACTGAAATGATTTCTCATCTTTATGAACTCTCAAGTGCTTTTTAAGATTAAATTTTGATGAAAAATCTTTTAAGCAGTCTAAACACTTATATGGCTTCTCCCCTGAATGAATTTTCAAATGTGTTACTAGATGAGAATTTGTTTTAAATTTTTTTTGACAGCTTGAACATTGGTATGGTTTCTCTCCTGTATGAACTCTCAAGTGTGACACCAGATGAGAGTTTTGTGAAAAACACTTTAGACACACTGAACACATATACGGCTTTACTCCTGTATGCACTCGCATGTGTTTTGTTAGGAGAGATTTTAGAGCAAATTCTTTTAGACATTTTGAACACTGATGCACCTTCTCTCCTGTATGAGCTCTCATATGTTTAACTAGAGCAGGTCTTTTAGAAAAAGCTTTTACACACATTGAACATGATACACCTTTTCTTTATGAACACTCATGTGTTTAATTAGAGTATATTTGTCAGAATAATCTTTTAAACACAATGAACATTTATATGGTTTTTTCCCAGTGTGACTTCTCTTATGCTTGATTAAAGTAGAATTTCGTGAAAAACATTTCAGACACTCAGAACACTGATATGGTTTTTCTCCAGTATGAATTCTCACATGGCTCTCAAAATCATATTTGCGTATAAACTCTTTTGAACATTGAGAGCAGTTATAAGGTTTTTTTTCTGAATGGGATTTCATGTGAATTACTAGGTAAGACTTACGTCCAAACTCTTTTAGACACTCCGAACAATGATAAGGTTTCTCTCTTGTATGAGTCCTCACGTGATTTTCAAATTCATTTTTGCGAGAAAACTCCTTTAAACAATGTGAACACTGATAATACCTTTTCTTTGAGTGAGCTCTTTTGTGATTGGATAAAGATGATTTTTGTGAAAACACTTTTAGACACTCTGAACACTGATATGGGTTCTTTTCTTTGTCTATTTCCATATTTGTTTCCAAATAAGACTCATAAAGATTTAAAATACAAAGATCACTACTTATTTTTACTTCTATAGACTAATTTACTAGACTATATATATTAAATATATTTTTTATATGAATGGTCTTTGTGACATTAAACAATGTGAATTAAGTCTGTGCACTTCTGATACTGCATGAGTGATTGGGAGTGTGTTCTTTTTTGGGTCACCTTACTCTGGTGGGGAAACTACTAAAGTGATAAGAAAAGATCACTACATATCAGTAATGAAGTGTCCAAAAAAATAATTTCTCAATATATGTACTGTGTATGTTACTTTTTTGTCAGGTAAAACTTCAGAACTTGCAATGAAAGATGATATCAAGCTTCTGAGTGCTACAAACTGGCACTTTAAAGGCAATACTTACAATGAATAACCTTCTTACTGGAGAGTATGGTAATGTTTCACACACTAATACTTTGATAAGATGAAAACTACATCCCACTATTAAAGTACTGCACATTTAAAGCTGATTATGTGTCTTGATGCAAAACCTGTTATATTGAACAGTGGTGTGAATTATAATAATAAAAGCAGTAGTTTTGCTACTTTAATTTTTGGATTGGATGCCAGCATTACACATACACTTCTCTTCGTGAACTGAAAAATAAAAGAATAAAAAATTAAGCAGGACTTTAGGAAAGCTCACAGGAAACTTCTCTTTGATTACCTATTAAGACTTACCTATGTTAGCATTAAGAATATGAGGCATTCTTTTTGAATTGCTAATGCACCGCATGCAATCCATAAGCTACTATAATTATATGTTATTTATTTATTATAGCCATGTGGATGCCAAGCCCATGATGACACTCTTCAGGTCACTTGTTCTATCTAGGCTGGAATATTGCTGCACACTAACAGCACCTTTCAAGGCAGGTGAAATTGCTGACCTAGAAAATGTACAGAGAACCTTCACGGCACGCATAACGGAGATAAATCACCTCAATTACTGGGAGCGCTTGAAGTTCCTGAACCTGTATTCCCTGGAATGTAGGCGGGAGAGATACATGATTATATAAACCTGGAAAATCCTAGAGGGACTAGTACTGAACTTGCACATGAGAATCACTCACAACGAAAGCAAAAGACTTGGCAGACGATGCAACATCCCCCCAATGAAAAGCAGGGGTGTCACTAGCACGTTAAGAGACAATACAATAAGTGTCAGGGGCCCGAGACTGTTCAACTGCCTCCCAGCATACATAAGGGGGATTACCAATAGACCCCTGGCAGTCTTCAAACTGGCACTGGACAAGTACCTAAAGTCGGTACCTGACCAGCCGGGCTGTGGCTCGTACGTTGGTTTGCGTGCAGCCAGCAGTAACAGCCTGGTTGATCAGGCTCTGATCCACCAGGAGGCCTGGTCACAGACCAGGCCACGGGAGCGTTGACCCCCAGAACTCTCTCCAGGTAAAACTCCAGGAAGAACTAAACCAGCAGGTGTTATACAGTGCAAGGGTATTGGATGGCAAAGTAGTCTGATCCAAGAAGGAAAGAACAGCTCCAATTCCTTGAGTCAAGAACCCTTCACCAGCTTCATGACAGGTTCCCCTCCCCTTAAAGGGTGTAATTTGACATTTAAATAAAATTTAATATTAGGTAAGCTCATTCCTTTACTCATGTTTTTATAATATCTCCTTCAAATGTTAGTCTGATGTAGTATCTCTCATGTAATTTCAAATCTAGGAAAAAAGAAGAGTTATTACTCTTACCTACAAAATTTTATTAGAGACACTATATATTTTATATTAAAATTCATCAAATTGTACCTTTCTTGTCAGTCTTAATTTACAACTAGTCTAAGGTAATGGAGAAGAAAGTGAAATAACAACTCAATATTGTAGAATGGAAATAACATGAGAGGAGTAGAGGATACCTGGACTTTGTTAAATGAACACAATAAAAATGTGAAAATTTCACCTTATAGAGGCAAAAATAAAGCCCATTCCAGGTGACGTTTCCACTCTACATTACTATTAGCACTTTGTACATTCGACTACCAAATAAATATCATTTGGATATTAGAAAATATGCATGTATATATGCCTATTTAAAAAACAGAATTAATGGAAAAAGTCACTGTCTGACTACTGCATTATCTGGTTAAATCCAATAATGAGTTTACGGGCCCAGGGACTTTGCTTCAATGACACAAATAAATAATTGAATGTTATGTATCAAAGCATAAATAAAGGCCATTCCTATGAGTGATCATTGTCCTCACCTGGCGATGCATTTTGTGCTTCGCCTACGAGTAATCACTTGGCTTCACATAAAGTGTCACTGTACTTCACCTGATGAAAATCACTGTAATTCAACTGAGAATGCACTGCACTTCACCTGTAAAGTCATAATGTACTTCAGTGCCCGGCATGTGGCAATCAAATACCACCTGGGTAGCCTTACATACGCACCTGAGGAGAGGGTCTGTTTACATCCAGGATGTTGTGCCTCGCCTAGTACAACACTGTAGCTCACTATCTTTGGTGTCAGAAAGTTTTTATTCTCTATAATAATATCTGTTATTTACTCCCTGCAGTTCACCTTGTATTGTGACCTACCTAGGTGAATCATACCTCTGTACCTTCTCACCTAAAAACTTGGTCGACATCCATGGACCTCTTAGTTACCTCTGTATCTTTTACTATGGGTAGAAATTTACCTATAAAACTAACTTTATTTACTACAGTACATGTACAAGGTATACAGTCCTAGCTGACATCAATGACATACTACTATATAGAAAGCCGCTTGTTATGCAGAGCATTTCAGGCAAATTAGGTCAGTTTTGTCCCAGGATGGACCCACACCAGTCGACTAACACTCAGGTACTGATGGATGAACATAAGAGATGCATAGCCGCAGTTACCAAGATACATAGCCGCGGTCACCTTCACCATAACAACAGAAGTAACAGAAGACGCTAGTCAAGAGTACTGTAACTAGTAACGTTTCTGTCAGTCAGACGCCCAGCTAACTCGTGTCCAGTCCACTGCTGCTACTGACATTATTGCTGCTAACGCTCCTGCTGGCACTGTTGTTAATTAGCGGTGTTGGTGTCACAGTGGCTACTGACACTACTGATTACGTTTCTGTTACTAACACATTTATTTCTGTCAGTGTTGCTGAGGCTGCCGTTGCTGCCGTAACTGGCTCTGCCGCTGACAACCGCTTCCGCAGTTCCGGCTGACACTGCCAATACTGACACTGCTAGTGGCATTGACTCTGCCGACGTTGCTGCTGAATCTACGGTGTCTGCTGTCTTCAGTCTTCCCTGAAAGTTCCATCAAAGAAAAATTAAACTGAAGATAGGTAAAGTTGTTGATATAAATATTTTAATTGTACAGCAAAACTAACTCAGCAGCCTAACTTACTAGACTTATCTAGGTATTATTCCCTCTTGCTTCCTCCCACTTTTTAAACCATTCTCTTCCTCTTATTTCCATTTTTCACCTTTTACTCTTCTGTCTATTTCGTCCTCTTTTACCTCTTCCTGTCCCTTCTCTTTGTTTTTTTTTTTTTACACAGGGTTTGACAAGGTTAAGGATCCCTAGCTTTATTGACAAGTTAAGAGCTGTTACTTACATCAGCTCATTTGAAAGTATTTTTATTGTTATGAGACATACAAGTAGGGAACAGGATGAAGTTGGAGCCATCTGTGGGCCAGCATTTTCATTTGATCAACTGACTTCATCTCGTTGACATCATTATGCTGTACGAATGTGTTCCATACTCGAGTCATCCTGGGTATATATGATCTCAGATGGAGTGATGTTCTGGAGAAGGGTACAGCCAGAGTGAAGTTGCTGCTTTCTGCCCGTCTTGTGGCATAAAAGCTTGTTTCACGCTGTCCTCGAAGTGGATCCAAGTGTGGTACTTTGACAATATTGGCCTTGTACATAACAGTAAGGCCACCCACATCCCTCCTGTGTTGAAGGCTCTGCTGAAATGGCAGATCTATCCAGGATAACTCCAGGTAAACTCCAGATTGGTCCAGGCGAGAGATGAGACGCATTGCTCTGTTCTCTACTCTGTCAAGCAGTAGCAGATGAGAGGGAGGGGGCAGGCAAACCAAGAAAGTGGAGCATACTCAAGGTGTGAGCGTACTTGTGCCTCGTACAGAATCTTGCAACCCCTACAGTCATGCAGATGCGAGATACGGCGAAGTGCTGTAAGCTTCCTGGCTGCCTTGTTTGCAAAATTTACAACATGGTTCTTCATGGTTAGTTTGGAGTCAAATTTCACCCCAAGGATATCAACTTCTTCTCCAGGTGCCAACACCCTCCCATTCATGCTTACTACTGCACCAGCATTACCATCATGGTGCCTAGAGACCATCATCATTTGCGTTTTCTCAGGTGCAAATGTTACTTGCCATCTATTTCCCCAAGCTGATATAGCTCTTAGCTGGTGATTGATGTAGCTTAGAGCAGCTGGCATTTCTTCTTTTGGATAAGTGAATGTCAGTGTACAGTCGTCTGCATATGCATGGGATTCTGGGATGAGATGAAGAAGGTCGTTAAAGTAGACATTCCATAACAATGGTCCCAGCACGCTTCCTTGTGGTACACTTGCCCCAATAGGATGTCTTGCTGATTCCGTTCCATTGAGAACTACACTTAGAGATCTACCATGAAGGTAATCACTGAGGAGACATAGCGTAGAGCCTGCAATTCCCAGTGCTTGAAGTTTTGCTAAGAGGCCCTGGTGCCACACCCGGTCGAAAGCACCAGCAATGTCCAGTGCTACCACGCAGCTGACTTTGTATTCATCCAGTGACTGGTGCCACTTAGTGGAGAGGTTTAACAACAGATCAGCAGCAGAGTAACCTTTCCTGAAACCATATTGACGATCACATAGTGAGTGGTAGTCAAAAAACTCTGTCATTTGTCTTGAGATTATTGTCCTCAAGGATCTTACCAGTGATTGACAGGAGTGACACTGGTCTGTAGTTGCTGATTTCTGCTCTGCTCTTCTTTTGTGAGCAGGGACTACATTTGCCTTTTTCCTTCCTTTGCCTGGTTCCTTCTCTTCCTTATATCCCTTCTTAACATTTTCTCAATTCTTTTTTCCCTTTCCCTCAATATTTTCTAATTTCGCCGCTGAATAGGAATTCAGTGGAAATCGAAATATGCAAACACTAAACAACTCGTATTTCTGTCTCTAGTAATAAACCCTGATTATCCGCAATGAAGTACTGTCAGTGAATATACAGAAGAATGGACAGGGACTCGAACTGGGATTCATGCAGGACGCAGGTGAAGCCATACAGCCACCAGGGTTCTGATAATTGCCCCAGAACGATTATTATTATTATTATTATTATTATTATTATTATTATTATTATTATTATTATTATTATGCTTATTGTTTCTTCAACACTAGTGGGACACTCTTAGTGATTTTAATGTGTACCTGCCCGCCAGCACAGAGTGTAAGTTTATTTAGGTACAGGTACACATAAGTATAATTATCAGAATATATATAAAATATGCAATAACTTTAAAAGACATGAAATTTTGGGAAGTTTCCAAACATAACCGGGAGAGACGCGGAGCTCACGAAGGATGTAGACAGAGTGGCACACAGACTGGTAACAGCGAATCAGGGAACTGTATAACATAATTTTTTGTTATAATCCTGAAATGTCCGTATTAGCGAATCAGCGTAAACCGAAATGCCATAAAGTGGGGCCTGTCTGTACATTTTTCCAATATAACTAATTTGTGCTTCCACAGCCCAAATTCAAAACAAAAACATTTTCAATTAAGTCGATCAGAAGAAACATTCCCTAGTTATTACATGAGAAATAAATTACTGAATAAAATTTGCAGGTTAAAATTTGTACAGCTTGAAGTGAAAGCCAAGTTTTCTTTTAATAAAACCAATTAACACTGAAATGGTATTCTCCATTAATTGTTCTGAATTAACAATATCAGACCTACACACTGTAAACCTACAAGTTATTATCTGTGGATTTTTTTTACATAATTTTCTACATGTAGAACATTTTTATTATCACACTGGCCGATTCCCACCAAGGCAGCGTGGCCCGAAAAAGAAAAACTTTCACCATCATTCACTCCATCACTGTCTTGCCAGAAGGGCGCTTTACACTACAGTTTTTAAACTGCAACATTAACACCCCTCCTTCAGAGTGCAGGCACTGTACTTCCCATCTCCAGGACTCAAGTCCGGCCTGCCGGTTTCCCTGAACCCCTTCATAAATGTTACTTTGCTCACACTCCAACAGCAAGTCAAGTATTAAAAACCATTTGTCTCCATTCACTCCTATCGAACATGCTCACGCATGCCTGCTGTGCTGGAAGTCCAAGCCCTTCGCACACAAAACCTCCTTTACCCCCTCCCTCCAACCTTTCCTAGGCTGACCCCTGTGACAGCTCCCACTTTGTGTGATTCTTTATATTTTAAAAATCCAAGGCCATGATCCTGCACACCAAAGTGCCGGAAGGCAGACTGCAGGTGTCAGGCATCAATCTCGGCTGGGTCAGCAGCTACCTGTACCTGGGAGTGCACATTGAGAATTGGCTCTCCTTTCGGAATCAGGCAGAGTACGTCAGAGAGCAGACCATGCAACGGGTCACGGCCATGCGGGCCCTCGCCAACCCTAGGTCAGGGGCCAGCTGTGACATTCTCCGATTATTCTACATGCAGGCGGTGCGCTCTGTCGTCGACTATGGTGCACTTACCCTGGTCCATGCCCGCCCCTCGCACCTTCAAAGACTCGACGTCGTCCAAAATACTGCAGCTCGGATCATGCTGGGCGCGCCAAGGTGGACGAACACTGTGCCACTGAATCATGAGGCTCAACTGCAGCCCCTACGCGATAGGATCACCCTTGTGGCTGCCAGGAGGGTGGCCAAGTACGTACAACTCCCTGGTGGAGAGGGACTGCTGCAAGACCTCCTTGAACGTCAACAGGGAGACCTCAGGGAGTTTCCCGGCCGGCTGTGGGTGTGGTCAGTGGCAGATGTATCGAGCAAACTCCTCCCCATGACGCTTATCGTGGACAAGGGCTGTGACCGGCCTGTGGCGGGGTACTCTGTACTCCCTCCCTGGGCACCAGAAGCAGTTGTGGTCCACATCCAAGACCTCCCAGTTAGCAAGCGTCACTGTCTACAACACGTGCTGCAGCAAAGGGCTGCAATGAGTATTGCAGCAGCAGAGCACCCTGGGTGCGCCGTATATTACACCGATGGCTCCCGGGATCCAGAGGCTGGCCGCACAGGTGCCGGGGTACACCATGTCACCCTGACAGCCGGATGGTGACTCCAGGATCACTGCACCATCCTCCAGGCAGAACTCCATGCCATCCAGAGGGCCCTGCAACACGGGCTCCTAGATCATCGGCGACCCCCAGTCATTCACATCGACTCCAGAGCAGCGATCCAGGCCATCATGCACAGGGAGCCCAGGAACAACATCCGGCTAATTACTGCCATCAGGAAGGACCTGCAGACATTTAATGAGCAGGGATGGCAAGCAACAATCAACTGGATTCCGAGCCACATCGACCTTGCTGGGAATGATGCGGCGGATGGCGCGGCGAAGTCAGCAACCCTTGAACCCCAGCCAGTGACCACCATCGCCATCAGCCACAGGCAGGTGGACCTGTGGGCAGCCGCTGCAGCCAGGCGCCCGCTACCAGGGCCAGGCACATCGCGGAGCCGGATCTGGTATGACAGGGCGACCCGAGGGGAGCCCCCGCCGAGCATGCGGAGGCTAGACAGGAAGTTGCAGGTTGGGATCCACCGGCTGCGACTTGGCTACCCTACTGCCAGAAGACTCATCGACCGTGTGCGAGAGGAGTGCTGCTGCCATTGCAACCAGATGGTCCCCGAGCCACTAGTGCACTACCTCCTCGACTGCCCCGTGATGGTGCCACTCCGACGGAGGCACTTCCCAATGGCGCCTGGGGACCTGAACCGAGAAGACACCGCAGCCCGGCTGGTGTACCTGGCCGTCCGTGACCTAGGAACTCTCATCCCCATCCTGGCTGCCCACTCACCGCCTCGATGACGACGCCACATACAAAGAAGAGTCACCACGATCTCTCCATCTATTAACTCTCCTACTCTTCCTTCTTTCACTCCCCTACCTGCCCTCCCCACCACTTAAAAAAAAAAATCCAACGGAGCCTGTACCTGTTTTCTAGGTAAAAGTCTGAACTCGCCTAGAACCCATGCCACACTACCAACAACTTGACAGGGCAACAAGTGCCCGAAGACCCTCAACCCTGGCGATGCCTGCCAATGAAGCCCAAATGGATGCCTGCTGATGAAGACCAAGTGACGCCTGCTGATGAAGATGAGAAGCGAGATGACACTCCCATCCGGGAGTCGCCGCAAGAGAGAAGAAGAGGTTACCCTCCAGCCGGAGGGCCCAAGAAAGAAGACAGAAGAAAGAAGATGAACGACATCCCCAACCGGGGCCCACAGCCGGGTCACCATATGGAGAAGACCCGGGCCGGAAGTACCGGCAAACCTCTAATGAATGAATGAATGACTCCACGCCTCTTGCCAAGACCCTCGCATTTACTTCTCTTACAACCCATCTATAAATATATTAAACAACCACGGTGACATCACACATCCTTGTCTAAGGCCTACTTTTACTGGGAAATAATTTCCCTCTTTCCTACATACTCTAACTTGAGCCTCACTATCCTCGTAAAAACTCTTCAGTAGAACATATAAGTAAATAATGTAATAGTGTAATAAAATATGATGCTGTTTAGACCCTTTGAGAAATTTCGAGGGAGGGGGGTGTAACAGCCGGTAAGGACGCTTGGGGAGACGCCATGTTGAAATTATTGCGTGAGGACTGGTCGGAAATTTGCACCAGGAATTCGGCATTTACCGAGGCCTAATGGGGTGTATCGGCCTCAATTCTTAATTTAGAAATTGCTGACACATTCATGCTGAAGAATTGGGACAGGAAATTTCCGAAACCACCATAACAAGGTGGTGAGAATGGAAAATGAATGATGCTGCGTCATCGCACCTCGCCCAGAAAAGTACTCCAAAGTCCTTGTATTTAGATCTAAGCTGGCCAGTGTAGGTTCTAGATGTTAGGCAGGTGTTGTGGTGTGATCCATCTACAATAAAATGGTAAGTGGTAATAAAAAGTTATTTTTTAATAACCCTAATAATTTATGTATAATAATTTGTTTTCAACAAGCCTATTCTTATACAGTTCACCTGTTTGTTATTTTACCAGAGTAGCCGGTTTTAATATTGTAATTATGAAAGTAGTAATTAGTGAAAGTAGTAAGAAAGTGGGCAGTCGAAGGAGTTGCAGTTCAGTGACCAACTGTGACTTAAGTCCCACTTACCTCAACCAAATTACTTGCAAGTAATAATTCAGGTGATGTCCTATAAACCTCCTGCAGGTGATTTGTTAATAATAATAATAGTAATAATAATAATAATAATAATAATAATAATAATAATAATAATTTTTTCACATTATCCTTCATATCGAATACAATGGTGTTAATATTTTGAAGCCAATCAGAAGAGGTATTGAACGTAAATAAATATCACTATTTATGTTCAATACATATTGGCAAACTTGGACTTATGTAGCCCAATAAAAACGTGAACCTTGCTTACTGGAAAACACACCAGGGCTTAAAATTTGAAGCCGAGCAGACGAAGAATTCTCCAGTCATTGTACTGAGTCCAACGATTTCAAGGTTTACAAACAGAAACAGTGCACTGACAAATTTCTCTACACACAAACTAAACTTAATGGATAGTATGATGGCTGTCAGATGTATTCCACTAAACAATGAAGCCGTTCAGAAGTATTTTATAAGGAATCATTTTTTCACACAAATTTACACCCACATCTGAATTTCACTCTTCGCCGTTGACGATTTAGGAGGCCCCTGTTTTGAGCGTATGAAGCTAGCAAAGCAAGCAAAGAGGCAGGGCCAGGAGCTGTGAATCGACCCCTATGACCACATATAGGTAAATTACTGAAGGTATTCACCTATATTTGAATACTGAGGGTATTCACCTATATTTGAATACTGAGGGTATTCACCTATATTTGAACCCATTCCCAAGATACTGAGAATGGGTTAAAATTTGTTGACAGGACACCTGTACATGCCTGTTGTTCCTAGAACTTGGGCCTAGTTACCCTACACCAGAGTTGAAAATGGGAAATCGAAGGAAGAAAAAATAAAAGAAATCTGGCAACCACTTAAATGTCCCCCTTCAGGAGTACCTAATAATAATTATTATTTATAATAATTGTCATCATCATAATATCCTAGAATCAGTTATTTTTAGAATACTCACAGAGAAGTGCTAAACGCAGAAGGGTCATACAACACCTGAGAGAAATTGGAGGGTAGCTCCAGTTCCTCGGATCGAACCTACAGTTCAAGCAAACCCCCCTTTCTTATCTCTTTCTTCCCGTTCAGACCAAGATCTCCAGCAACGATGGAGTGGTGGGCGTGGGCACCTCTCATCATCGGGGCATGGGCACAGGGCACTACCATGTATGTTGCTTCAGGAATACCCACTCAGTGTGTGTCACAGCAGCATCAGAACAACACCTACAGTGTCTCTTTCAGTGTACAGTGTGCAGTGTTAAGTAACCTACTTGGAGCTGTCACCCACACGTTTGATGGTAAGTATGTGCGATTTTTCAGTGATAAGATGCATTAAAAACCGTAGATGACCATGAAAAGACACTTATTAACAGCTCAGAGCCCCAGCAGCCGTGGTTCCGGTGGTCTCCTTCAGTGGGGTCAGCTGTGTCCCACAGAGCTGTGAATAGAGCGATGATGACCAGTATTAATACTCGCCCTAAAGACTTACATATTCCACTGTGTCTAGTATATTACCTGTAACGTTGTGGGTGAGTCTCGCCTGTGTTTGGGCAATCGCCATCTATTGACGGTGTCTATTGGTTAGTCCTATTAAAGCACATATCAGTACCTACTCACTACAGCGTGTATGTGTGTGTACTCACCTAATTGTGGTTGCAGGGATCGATTCATAGCTCCTGGCTCCTGTGTGTGTGTGTGTGTGTATGTGTATGTCTGTGTCTATACTCACCTAATTGTGGTTGCAGGGGTCGATTCATTGGCTTCTGTGTCTGTGTGTGTATGACCTAATTAATGTTTGCATTAATAACCCATTACAGTTGTGACCAGGTGTAGATGTGTAAATGGTTCATTACCTTTGTAACTTGTTCATGATTGTGACCGGATATAAACATGTAAATGATTCAGCTATCAAAACTTTGCGGCCCAGTCCCTGGACCCATTATATACCTCTGTAATATTTTGAGTACCGCCCACTGGATGGGTATGTTGTGCATAATAGAGATATTAAACTAACTGCAGCGAACACAGTCTAATATGGGTTTGGGAGAACTTACCTGGGTGTGTGTATCACACCCAAAAAGACATGACACCGGGAATAACAGCGTGATTGAAGGTAGGATGATTCTACTCTTACCTGAAGGAAGGGTTAATCCATTCTTCCTTCGAACGGCTTTGAACGTTATAGTAACACAGGTACGCTCGTTGGACATGAGTGTCCTTGTTCACCAAGTATTCAACACAGAGAGAGAGAGGACCTAGTAGCGATCAGTGAAGAGGCGGGGCCAGAAGCTGAGTCTCTACCCCTGCAACCACAGTTAGGTGAGTACGCTAGGTATATTATGAATTGGTTCAACAATGCTCGAAATGCCATCACTTGTTCACGGTAGGGAGAATGACTGGCGATAATTCGCTCTGCAAAGAAAACTATTGTAGTTTTAACACTATCTCTACTCCGGTTCTCCTTAATGATCGTTCGAGCGCAAATAAGCGACATGGAGACATACGATTTAATCACGAATTTACGATTCTACACGTGATCGGTGGCACTACCATGGGATTTTGTTTACTTGCTGGCTCGGTTGATCTTGTCTCACCAACTAGAAGACTAACCGTCGTGAACGCCCTTTATATGGGCGAAATAATGCTGACATATGTCTGAAAACATGAGTGCCAACCAGCACTACGTGATTTGAGTCATGGAACTGATTTCTCTTGTCCTGGCGCATTCTACGTTAAATGAGATTTACTAGCTAACTAATCACACTAAGAGGTTATTTTTACGTATTTTCTAGGTGTCTTTAGATAAATGGATTTCTAGGGCAAATTTAAGTGTGAATATTATCTTGGGGCTTGTTGCGAAGTGTTGGGAAGACATCAGCGCCACAGCTATATGGTATATCCTGATGATTACATTCTCTCTACATGTAATTTCGCTCTAATTTAAAACTACTTAGTTGAGGGTACTATCTTGCAAGAAATACAATCCTCCCATTCCATTAATGGAAGGCTAGAGGGTTACTTGACCCCAGCCTGACCTTCACGTTGCTGCGAGAGAGGGACCTCAGCTCCCTGCTGAGGGGTTGCTGCTCCCTTGTGCTGCTTCTTGACGATTTGGAGATAACTTTCTCTACAAAGTATTATTTATTATTATGTGTTATATTTAATTCATTGAGAATGAATTATTATCCTCATTATTATAAGTTCAGTAGCATCATTATTAGTTTATGATTATATCTATCTATTAACAAAGGGCTTGGCATTGATTTTGTGACCCTTGTGTTAGTTGCCAAACTTTTCCAATATTAACTTAATTTTTTAAAATTAGAAAAAAAAAAAATTAAAAGTTACTGGTTCACATAGAATAATTTGTGAATGCCTCATTAGATCGACTTTGAGACATCCAGGAAGTTGAATAAAGAATACTTCAGAATGTAATGTAGAGAGCATAGGGAAATTGTTGAATAAGCAGCCCCAGCATGGAGCCCACACCTGGTCAACCCACGAAGAACCTTGAACAAATTAGTTCACAACCAGATTAGTACCAGAACTGAGAATAATGCAGTATTAGGAGAGACCGAAGAGAAGGACACGGGGAGGCATAATTACGATATACAAAATCTTAAGTGGAACTGATAGGGTAGATAGGGTCAGAGTGTTTGAATTAAGAGGACCAAGATCAAGGGGACACATGTGGAAGCTGAAAACACAAACGAGCCACAGGGATGTCAAGAAGTAATTTTTTAATCTCAGAATAGTTAAAAAGTGGAATGACTTAGATGAGGCAGTGGTGAGGACATACTCAATACACAGTAGATGTAAGAAGCCCCGAGAGGCCAGAATTAAGTCAGTTTTCTCCCATTATTCCTCATTTCCCAGACATAAACTCTTGCACCCTGGTCGGTGAAGGGATGATGTCTACTAAGTCTGAAGTGACCTACTCCTCCTTCCCTGCCCTGGAGACCCTGCAAGAGGTGGCTAGAGGAAAAAACACCTTCGGGAGTCCTTATTATGGAGAGTAAGTTAATTTACCTGTACTCTGCTGCCTCTATGTTGGTATGAGTAAATTTTAATGCATCTTCTTATTTACTGACACTATTATTAACATCTTTATTAGTTATTAATTGTCTCCGTTGTGCCATTAGCTGCATAACGACCTAGAGGTAACAAGCACCAGCTTGTGCGACTTGTCTAGAAATTAGTGGCTACTACTACTGCATGTGAATGTAATCCTCTGCCGAATCACATCAGCGACCTCTGGTCGTGCTTATTGTTCTGTAATGTTTTGGTATCTTAGTAGACCATAGTAGGTCTGATCCTCACACTTTTCACTATAATGTCACGTGCTTATAAAGAATAATAGAGGCAGGATAACAGTTCTTAACATATAAATGAGTTGAGGCAGGATAACAGTTCTTTACTTATAAATGAGCTGAGGCAGGATAACAGTTCTTAACCTGTAAAATTGATGTGTGAAAAAACACAGCTAGTGGTCATCCAGTCACATGTGTGTGTCAGTAGACAGTACCGTTGCCAGGTGTTTACACCACCACCGGAATCCAATGCATAAATACAATAACAACAAAATCTGTAAAGACAAGTTGCAGAATAAGCTTCTACTGAGACAGCCTTTCCTTGTATTTGAGCTTAACTCATGATTGGATAAAGTTCTATACAGAACGATACATGGGCCCAGTTATCATCTTGTTTCGCAGTGTGTGTTCAGTATTGTCTTCAGGACGACAGCTAAATCCAACCAGCTCTTTGTCTTATCCTTGCAGGTGGGTGCCGAGCCTGGCTGTGGACGGCATCGAGTTGGACTCCAGCATGTCGCACTCAGACAACGGTGTAGTGCGCCCCTGGTGGCTGGTGGACCTGGGCACTACCCATACCCTCCACGAGGTACTCATCCTCTCCAGGAGGGACCAGTTCTCAGTGAGGTTACATAACGTTGAGGTGAGTGTTTCTCCACGCTTGACGCCGGTGAAGGGCTATTTATCTGAGGAATGGAGCTGCCTATCAATCTTTGGCGTCGAACCTGATTACCTCCCATTCCGCAGGTGTTGTATGACCCCTAGGGGTTTAGTGCCTTTCATGAGTATTAAAAATAATAATAATGTTAGTACCGTATAACTCTCATATTGATTAACAGAATATTTTACACTGATTGTATTAACCCTGAGGTTTAGTAACCCAGGATAACTCAACATAGCCAGGATGTTACCTTATTTTCATTGTGGTCCATTAATCCTCTCACTCAGGATGGGACCTACAGAAGAAGACTAACACCCAGGTACCTACTTACTGTTATATGAACTAAGGCAACATTAGTAAGTAAACTTGTCCAACGTTTCCACCTGTGCTGGAATCGAACCCCGGTTCTTCAGATGCTAACTGGAAGAGATACCACTAAAGAGAAGAGTAACAGCGCACTGCTGATGTACCCATTTTTTTAATTACAAAAGTGAAATATTTCAGAAGTCTGAACTCACGATTAATTCATTATTCAACCTGACTTCATTTATTATTCAAACTGAATGCTCCTAATCACTGAAGTGCACTTTCACGGAGCATTGGTTGTATTCTGCCATCTTAAACGATCTCCAGTTATGAGTTGAGAATCAGCTGGCCCACCAGAGCTATAGTTCACACACCATTGAAAAAGCATATTGTTACTGTCTAGCACCGCCCTCAGAGATTTTCTGATTGATGTTCCTAGGTCCCGTTACTTAAGCTTGACTTATGTTCCAAGGTTCCTGTTACTGAAGTCTAGCTCATGTGTACATGTTTATGTTACTGATGTTCCCAGGATCCTATTACTGAAATCTGACAGATGTTCCTATATTCGTCATCTTCAGATGATTCTTTCAAATTGACGTTATTATAACAGTTAATATACAGTGTATGCACACTGAGAAATGCGTTATACACTGAAAGGGCTGTATCTTTCAGGGTATATAAGTTGAGAGATTTATATCTCTCAGGATTTTATACAATGAGAAGTGTACGAGTATATATCTCAGGGCATATAAACTGAGGTATGTATCTCCCAGAGTATATACACTGAAAGGTGTGTATCTCTCAGGGTATATACATTAAGAGTCGTGTATCAGGGTATATACATTAAGAGTTGTGTATATCTCAGGGCACGTATGTCGTCTTCATGAGAAGGTTCCATGTGACGACACAGTGATGCCTGTGTTTAATCTGTGTTGTTAGGTTTCCCATCAGCGAGGACACATATAATGGCTGTTGGATTTTGTTTTCAAGATTTCTGCGCGATACCTTGAAAATACTTCCTCTGGATGCCTTCACACTTTCAACAGTGATGTATCTTACTCAGAGGGAGGTAAGGATTTTTATTGGACTATGTACACGACAATTTGTCAGTTTTATTGAATAAATTTTACTTTTGGTTTCGGGGGGACTGCGCAGTGTGATACATGGCATCTTCTTTGAGTTCAATCCCCACGGTACGGGCGGGGATTGAACTCACGGCTAGTGAATCGTAAAACTCCGTGGTTTGTTTCCAATTGTGTCATTACGATTTCGTGGTTCATGATCTCGTTTGGATTGCTTAGCTACTGAAAAAAAAGTTATATTTTTAATTATTTTCATGTTTTTTGTGAAGTTATGAAGGAGACTCAACAAGTGTTCATTCTTCAGATCCGCGTGGGCAACACCTTCATCAATAACAGCGACTACACCTCGTACGTGCTCTTCTCCACGTACTTGGGTCCCTACCAAATAAATGATGGGTATCTCTCCTGTCGACGGGCAGGTGGTATCGTCGGCAGATACGTCAGCATCCAGCGGGTCACACCTGAAGACGATTTTGCTGCAGCTGGTCGAGGTGAAAAGTCGGTCAAGATCATCTGATTTAAATGTTAGGGCAGTGATCTTGAGTTTGCTAAATCCCAGTTACGCAAATGATCTGGTCAGAGGTTTTGAACAAGGACTTCTTGGGGAAAAACCCCTTTCAATCTAAACACGAAAATTCAAGAAACGGACTTTGTACGACTACAGCACAAACATGATGGATTTATCAGAATAAACACTCGCCCTTATGGCATGAAAGGGAAAGATACTTGAAGAAGGGGGGAAAAAACTAATAAAAAGTATGTCTAGGGGCGATGAAATTCAAATACAGAGCCCCAGTAAAAGAAGATGTGTTTGTTACTCTATAATTGTTATGTTGTACCCTTTTAAAAACGTAAGTAAATTTACAAGATTCTTACTTTTGTAATTGTGGTTCTTTCCCTTTGGCGGTTCAGCTATCAAAACTTTGGGGCCCCCAGCCCCCTGGACCCATTATGTCCCTCTGTAATATTTTTAACTACAGCCCAAGGATGGGTAGGGGTGATAATAAACATATTTAAACTATAACTAGCTTACCCAGATCACTTGCACACATATATTACTGGAAAAGTTGCCGACTCGGAACAAGGATGTTTTCCCAGCATTTTGGCCGGTGTTACAATGTATGAGGTTGGACGGGGGAGCAGTAGCTCCAGGCCATCGCTAGGATGGGCCCCATAAAAATTCAGATTTTTTTTTAGAGTATTTAAAAGATCCTGAAATTAAATAAAAAATATTACTGAAAAAGTTAAAAAAAATTTTAACAGAAATTGTAAGCTATTATTTGAATCCGTGTTTAGTAAGCTATGAAAAATTCATTTTTATGACCAGTCTCTCCCGACTGGACCTTATGGTTATTGAAAAGATTTTTGTTCGGTTTTTTAAACCCCCGGAGGGTTAGCCCCCCAGGAAAACCCCAAAAAGTCAGTCGTCATTTTTTGAGTACCTTCATGTATGGGGGTGGAGTGTAAAATAAAACTGTTCACTGCTGGCTCGAGTGTCCCTGCATTTATATATACCCCCACAAATTCCTCCCCCCCTTTCCTCACACTTAAATTATTTCAGTCCCTTGTCTCTACAAGGTTTTGTTGCTGCTCCTTTCTATAGGGGGTAGTATATACATCCGGGGAGTATACTGGAGAGGGTTTTGGGGTCATACCCCGGGCTGGTCTTTTGACCGGGCCCTTTTGGGAGGGTCGGGCCTGATAAACCAGGCTGTTACTTTTGGCCGAAGGAATTGCAAGAGCGGGCAAAATATAAAAAAAACATGATCTCTGTAACCCTTCCCCCTGAAAGTGGCTGCCTTGGTTCAAGTCTAGCGCAGTGGAGCCAAGGTATTGGTCAGTGTGGGGAAGGTATAGCATGTGTCCCTTGTTGTGGGTTCGAGTCTCCTTCAGCAGAGATCAGTATTTATATTTTATAATTATATATATATTATATATATAATTTATAATAATATATATATAAAAATTTTGGAGTAAAATTCGGAAAACTTTTAGGTGAAAAAAAACCCAAGGCTCCTACCTCCCTAATCATACCTTCACTGATGATGAGATGAAGGGTTGAGATTAAAACTTGATGATCCCGGCCAGGCTATTTGATGAGTGATGTTGGGAGAAAATTCTCTCCCACAATAACAGTCGTCGATTTATAGTAACATCAGTTGGTAATGAATGGGAGATGAGAATTGTGATCTACAACCACCCTTTCCCATGATACATACTCTTAAGAGACTCCCCCTCTTACTAGCCCTATCACACTACTTGGATGAGTCAAGTTATTGGAAGAATGCGAAATGAGCCCCTGGTCTCTCGGAATAAAAATGAAAAAAAAAGTTCCTACCCAAAAAATTGAAAACCAGCAAATAATGACCCTACTAGATGGAGAATACATGCCTATATTCAAAACAATGATGATTTGAAAAGAAATGTCACCATTTCAAAAACAATTACTCAGTCAAAAAATAATTGAGGTTAGAATGTATGCGTGGACCCCCCAGACCGAAAAAAGAGACTAGCCCGAGGGAGCATTCCCCAAAATTCAACTTCAATAAAAAAACATAAAGTGGGACCAGTAAACCAAGTCCTAACCGATATAAGCTGGGAAGAATACTAAGAAACCAGACCCAAACTTATCCCTAGAACAGATTAACTCGGTGGCCTCGATGTATGCCAAGGTTTTTCCCTCTAGAAAAAGGAGGAGTAGATGTAAATAGAAAGGAGGCCTCCTTTACAGGGACGGAAAAGAATAACAGAGGGGAAAAAAGGGGTCAAATATCTGAAATGCGCAGGGAGACACTGGTAGAAAAATTGAAAGCATCGAACTTAAGCTAAAAGAATCCTTAGGATGGAATGCGGGAAGAATAAAGTATAAAGAAATCGAAAAAAAAACCCAAAGTATTTTTTTCCCCTATGCCAAATAAAATCGAAAACAACCCCCCCCGTATTGGGCCCTTATTTAAAACAAGTGGGTCCTACACAGATGACAGCAAGGAAATGAGGGGCTATCAAGTCCCAATATGACTCAGTTTTTAAAAAGCCCTAACCAGATGGAGTCAAAGATCAAAATAAATTTTTTTTATGAGAGGCCAAAAAATTTTGTTAACAAAAACCTATCCGATGTTATCCTGACCCCAATGACTTCAACGGGCGAAAAATGACATGCCCATGCACTCTGCCCGGGGCCAGATCAGGGAACCTCTGTGTTCCAAAAAGAACTGCAAGAAGCCCCTTTACGAGTTTTTTTCCCTCTTGGAGAGGGGCATGGACACGGGGGTCGCCCCTCATTTACTAAAAAACAACAGACATACCCCCACTCCAAAAAAGGGGGGCAGTAAAGCAACGCAAAGAATACAACCAATAGCACAAAATCCATATCATAAAAATCTTTAAAAGGGGTCCTAAGAAGCAAGATCCCACCCTCAAAAAAACCCCACTTTACAAAACCCCGGGCAAAGGTTTAGAACGGGTCGCCCCTGTTGTCTCAACTACTGGTCACTACGCAAGGTCCTAAATGCATAAAAGAAAAAAAGAATGCAGATGTAATATTACAGATTTTGAAAAAGCCTTCGACAAGTGTGCCATGGCGTAATGCGCCAAAATGCGCGCTAAAGGGAATAACAGGAAAAGTGGTCGATGGATCTAAAATTTCCCTCACTAAAGAACACAGAGAGTAGTCGTCAAAGAGAAAAGTCGAGGCCTGGGGAAAAAGCTCGTTCCCCCCAAAGGCACATCTAGCTCCCTCTTTTCCCTATCCTATATCCGACATAGCAAGGATGTCCACAGCCCCGTGTCTTCCTTTGCGTGAACCCGAATTGCATGACAGTGTTTCCTTTGCAACACTGCAAGGCTCCAGGCGGACATCAAAAAATCTTTCAGGGGGCTGCAGAAAAAAAATATGAAGTTAAACGAGGGAAAAATTTAATTTACTCAGATATGGAAAAAATGAGGAAAATTAAATCTTCATCAGAGTACAAAAAAAATTTGGCCACAAAATGAGCAAAAACCCCAACGTCAAAGACCTGGGATGGATTATGTCGGAGGATCTCCCCTTCAAGGCCATACTTTGTATCAATCGATCTGCTAAAAAAATGACAGGTGGGATAATGAAAACCCTTCAAAACTAGGGAGGAAAAACCCCAGATGACCTCTTCAGGTCATTGTTTATTAGGCTGGAATTTATTGCTGCATTTAAAGCCCCTTTTCAAGGCAGGTGAAATTGCCGCCCTAAAAAAGTAAGAGAATTTCACGGGCGCATAACGGAGATAAAAACCCCAAATTTCTGGGAGCGCTTGAGGTTTTAAACTGTATTCCCTGGAACAGAGGGAGAGTACAGATTATTACACTGGAAAAACCTAGAGGGATTTGTACCGAATTTCACACGAAAAACACCACTACGAAAGCAAAAGACTTGGAGACAGCACCATCCCCCCCAAAGAAAAACGGGGTGTACTAGCACGTTAAAGACCCTACAATAGTGTCAGGGGCCCGGACTGTTCAACTGCCCCCCAGCACACATAAGGGGGTTACCAAAAAAGGGCCCTGCGTCTTTTAAGCTGGCACGGACAAGCACCTAAAGTCAGTTCTGATCGCCGGGTGTGGTCGTCGTTGGTTTGCGTGCAGAGCAGCAAAGCCTGGTTGATGGCGCTGTCCACCCGGAGGCCCCGGTACAGACGGGCCGCGGGGGCATTGACCCCGAAAATCTCTCCAGGTAAAAACAGGGAAATTTTTTAATGCCCTCTTGGCCCCCGGACATTTCCCCGTGGTTTTCATTCCCCTTTTCAGGCAAGTCAACAGAGCCTTTTTTTCCCCAAAATGGTGTTCCCCAAAAATTCTTGTTTTTGTCCAATTTATTCATTTTTAGTTAAAGATCTTTTCCCCAACCGGTTTTAATGTACAGTTATAACGCAATTTGGTGATGATCCCTGTGCTCGTCAATTCCCCGTAACAGGAAAATACAAAAATTGAAAGAGTCATAAAAAAAAAAATGAATAAAGAATTTGTCGAAATCCCAATTGGGGAAAAAAAATGAAGAATTACGACTAACCCTGACAAAGTCCTGGTTGCAGATAGGATGTTTTGCATCAACCATCGAAGTTTTGGGGGGTATTCATTAGAGGTAAACCCGTGCCTTAGAAACAAAAGATCTTGGGATATGAAATAGACGGCGCTCCATAAAATCTCGCGCAATAAAAAGTCAACATGCCAAAGCCGGTTTAAAAGTCTCTTTTGATTTAATCGACCCCTTCACTTTTGGGGAAAAAAAATTTTTATAAAATGATGATAAGACCAATACCGAATACCCCTGTGTCCAAGTCGTTAACCAAAGACCAAAAGCTAAAAATTGCAACGGGTTAGAATAGAGCCTCCGCTTTATTCGGGCACCCGGGGAGAGACAGAGTAAAAAATGGAGATTTACCGTACAAAAGGGTATTTCGCCCTTTAAAAGTACGCCTCGATACGCTGAAGAGATACAATTCTATACAATGAAGAAAAATGACATATAGATAGAGAACTTCCCCT